TGTTTGCACAGATGAATTTCGACTTTAGTAATGGTTCATCATAATTACTATTCTCCAATCAGCATTCGCGATTTAAGTTATAAAAAAATTCACTCTTTTTCATAAAAGAAAACCCACAATTTTGTTTTTACGATTACTAGAAAGAAATTCGTTTGTTATATATACATGATTTTGAAATAATTCACGAATATTTTTTACATTCCATTTAGATTTTGAAATGAAGTTGTTTTATGTCTTATTATTCACATTTTTAAGTTTACAGTTTACTAATGCTAGGCGTAAACGTAGAACGTTTATTGATATGACTTATGTATATGATGAAACTACGTTACGTTATCCAATATTCAGTAAATTCAAAATTGAAAAATTAGTTAAAGGCCCCAATAAAGATTTGGTAACAAAATGGTAAGTGTTATCTTCAACTTTCTTACGAACTTTTTATAAACAACATATTTTTTTCCCCGTTGCATTCTTGATATGTAACTTTTTTCTTTCGGGCCTAGCATTCTCTAATGCTAGGACTAAAAGCAAAAAGTTAATTGATATGATTTTTTGTATTTGATGAAACTACGTTATATTATCCAATATTTAATGAGTACAAATTGAAAAGTTGGTTAAAGGCCCCAACGAAAATTTGGTAACAAAATGGTAAGTATTGACTTTCTTACGAACTTTTCATAATCGACGTAATTTTTCCCCAATTCAAATTCTGAGTTTAGATAATTCCTGAATAATAGTTTAGAAAATCTTTTAAATTTTTAAAATATATGTTACAAAATGTAGTTTTGTTGCTCGTTTTAATGTTATTTTATGCTATGAAAACTTTAATAATTGTTCATATTTTGTCATGACTGGGCATTTCTCTAAACGTTAAAACTTTTCAAATATTTATAACAAAATAACTACAAAGTAAGTGAAAAGGTTTTTATCGTCTTTAGAAGAAAATAATCAAAATATATCAATAAGTATATTTTAACTACCGTGAAGTACCGCACTACAAGTACTGAAATTACTGTAGTCGTTAATTTTAATGTAGTTTGTAGTATTGTGTGCTATTTTTTTTAAAAAAATAGTTTAGTGAGTAGAGATTCCAGAAAACTACTTTTTATATTAATTTAGTATAGGAACAGGGTTCTAACATAACTAATTTATAGAATTTGATGGGAATAAATTTTCATGGTTCCGTTAATGGATGCAATTTAAAATGCCCCTGTAAGTTAACATGAATTGTGTATATAGAGAGTTGTATATTTAATATTTAAGCTAGCGATTACGAATAATAGATCACTTTGATCACACTTTCACATGCGAATGCATACTTTTGAAACATTGATGTTATTTTAAAGGAAGGGAACATATTTTCGTTGTACTTAATTTCTTAGAGGAAATAAAAGAGCATTAAGCACTTAACAAAATTGCTAACATTTGATAATATTTCCTAACATTTCTCAAATTAAATTCTCAATTGCTGTGGAGGAATCATAAAATGTTGAAGTATACAAAATGCACAAATGTTGAAGTATAAAGTTGTACAAATTGAAAAAAAAATTATTTTAGAATACAAGCTGGCTCGTGTGAACATGAATAAGTATTTTATCATAGTTCCTTGTTTTTAATTCAAGACAATTTTTTATTCAAAACAATTTTGAACATGGCAGTAAATTATGTTCTCCGGTAAAGTTTACATCCCTAATGCAGTGAAATAGATGCAACTGTAAACTAGTTGTAGTTGTGAAGTAGTTGTAGCTGTAGTTAACTACATTTGTAGTAAAATAGTTGTATAAACTACAAAAATAATGTAGTTTTTCCGAGCACTGGACATAATACTACTTACTGTGTATACGTTTCTTGTACAAGGTAAGAGAAAGTAGCACTACACTACACAATTATGCACCAAACTGACGACAGCATAAATCAAACCTTTGTAAAAAATTAAATAATTTTAAATTTTATTTATTTTTTAGAGCTATTTTCTTGCTTTATCCTGTAGAATTACATTTTAAGTTTAAGAAAAGAACACTAATTTATTACCAAAAGAAGGATTGAGTAAACTCAGTTTTAAAAGTTTATGTATTTAAGTTTAACGAGACAAATTTTCAATGAATAAAATGCATCGAAATCTATTCACAAATCTTAATTAGTTACTGAATACTGGACAGATAATTTAAATTTGTCACAATTTAGCATGAAAACAATATCCTATTTCTCTCCAAAATGATTCTTTTTTATTTTTTTATTTATTTAGTTCTATAATTCCAATTACTGCAATAGGGTCCATACCTAAGAAACTCGAGAGTTGGAAAAATTCTTGTTCGATACAGGTGATTGCGCAATCCTAGATAATGATTAGGATGATAAAATAAAATAAATGCATAATGCTTTCAGAATTTTTTCTCCATCTAAGAAGNTGAAATGCATACATGCCGAACAGGAAGAGATTTTCCAATCCAGCAGTATTTAGTAACCCGCTCTCCTGTTTGGCAGATTCTTAAATTAAAAACAAAAATCATAATTGTGACCAACTACAACCAAGAGAAAAATCTCCGAAAAATAAAGCTAGTAGTTAAAGGTCACTGGATTGTAAATTAGCAAGACCTAGATCTCCATAATATTTAGAGTGGTAGGGTAACAATAAAGCGTATCTTAATTTGTTTAGGTTTGCCAGCAATTAAAAACTTAGCGGTCTAGATATAGAATTAAATGCATCTTTTCTCTTAGATTTTCTTCCCCTAAAGTTTTGATAACGATTCTTGTTTTAAAACACGAAAATAATTAATTCTATTTCCTTTTGGTTTTTGGAACATGTTTGAGCATTTCGCAATGGCGCAACTTTAGTCAATTTTGTCAGAAAGAATTTTATTGTACAATAAATTAAGTACAAAAAAGTAATGGATTTGATTGCGATATATGCACGCACAGCCTGCTGTAATATTTAATTAAGACTATTCTGGCTCATCCATGTTAATTATATTTTATACTAGCTGAAAACCGTTCTTCGATCTTAAAAAAAGGCATCAATAAATCTGAAGGCATGGATAAATATCATAAAAATGTAAAGTATTGTTGCAGCTGTAATTGGCACCAAATTTACTCTAAAATACGTTGTACATAAGTAATAATATATTTGGTAAGTATCAAAACTTCACCTATTACCATAATGCCAATAGTGCCCATTACCAAAATTAACCATCATTGGTGTCAGAATAGTATGTCGATGGTATTTCGGCTTTTTACGGTACTTCGCAAAGAATAAGTACATTTTCTCCATTAGTTTTTATTTTTAGCTCATTGCATATTTTAATGTAATTTAGTATTTATAATTAAAGTTAATTAAGCATCATTGACATCAATAATATTTTTCTGATTCAACAAACGAGTAACATTTCTCCATTAATTTTGTCTCTTAGTACATTTAATTAATGTGCTTAAATTAAATATTCTTGACGTCACTAACAATATTGGTGGTTTTATAATTATTCCTCAACAAATTAATTTCATTTTTTTCAATAATTTCGTCTTTCAGCTCCAAACTTTTGTTTTCATTTCAATCACCGTAGATTTTTACTTGTTTAGATTAGTAAAATCACGTTTTAAAAGCGTAACTAAGCGTAAGGATTTAAAAGCGATTTAAAAGCGTTACATATAAGTACGGAATTTCAGACGAACTTAGGAATAGTAATTTGGTGATGTAGTTTGCTTATACTACCATGATCACATTAATCATTCAGAAAACATAACAAATGAAATTTTAGTAAGTGTAACAGGAAGCGCAAAAAACAACCTTTTTAAATCAGAGCTATAAGCTGTAAGTTATCTTTAAGAAATTAGATTATTGATAGACTCATAGATGACAGTACTAAATTTTTTCTTCTTCGATCAAATATATATTTTTTAATTTTATTTTATACGATTCAAGCTATAAGCACAACTTCAAATATTTTACTTCTTCGAGAATTTTGTTAACTGTTTAATTATTATACTTTTAAACGTAAACCGCATTTCGCTGCACGCCGGTAAGTTTGATTACTTTTTACATTTTTCTTTTATTTCATGATCTTTTGCAAAAACTAAAGCTAGTAGTGAAGAAACGATTGAAACTTGTTTTTCCCTATTGCCATCCATCACAGAACTCCAGTTAAAATAAAGTTCTATGTTCGAAATTTCGACTGATAATAAATTTCCCTAGTCAATAATACAGAGATGGAAATTGTTCCGCACACGCCTAAATAATTACAGAAAACGTACATAACTTCCAAGTAAATTACGCAAATATTTGACTATTTTTTCTTGCTTTTTTAAAGGTATTTCATGACATAATTAAGTAAAGTAGTGAATTATATAAACCTACGAATTATTTAGAAATAGTGGTGGATAAAAATCTACTAAATTGAATTTATTAAACTAAGAATCACAATTGATAAACTACCACTTTAAGATATATATTTGCTATACGGAGCAAGTTGGCATCTGATAATATAGCGATAAATTATGTTTATAGCGATCAGGGATTGATTGAAGCTTGCGTTGGCAACTCAGCAGAGATTTCATACTGATAAACATGGAAGGGAGTTGAAACGCAGTGAAACAAGATAAGAATTCCAGAACTGCATACTGTTCATACAGATCAATGAAGCAATAATGTGATTTTTTATACGTATTAATTCAAATTGAAAACCTAATAAATCTATGGGTCACGATATCGCAAATGTACTAGATTACTAGAATTTTCCTTCAGAATTATAAAGGTAATGTACTCATTTGGAATACGCGTTTTTCTTCTACTTTTTTGTGTTACCTGAAACTTTTCTTAATACCATACATGATTGTTAAGCCAAACATCACGATACAAGAAATGCGTAATTTCAAAATTGTTTGCACAGATGTATTCCAACTTCAGTAATGCTTCATCATAATTACTATTCTCCAATCAACACTCGCGATTTAGGTTGTAAAAAAATTTACTCCTTTTCATATATGAAAGCCCACAATTTTTTTTTACAATTACTGGAAAGAAATTCGTTTGTTATATATACATGATTTTGAAATATTTCACGAATATAATTTTTTATATTCTATTTCGATTTTGAAATGAAGTTGTTTTACGTCTTATTATTCACATTTTTAAGTTTACAGTTTACTAATGCTAGGCGTAAACGTAAAACGTTTATTGATATGACTTATGTATATGATAAAACTACGCTACGTTATCCAATATTCAGTAAATTCAAAATTGAAAAATTAGTTAAAGGCCCCAATAAAGATTTGGTAACAAAATGGTAAGTGCTGTCTTCAACTTTCTTACGAACTTTTTATAAACGACATATTTTTTCCCCCGTTGCATTCTTGATATGTAACCTTTTTCTTTCGGTAACCTTTTTCTTTCTTGTATTTGATGAAACTACGTTATGTTATGTAATATTTAATGAGTACAAAATCGAAAAGTGGGTCAAAGTCCCCAACGAAAATTTGGTAACAAAATGGTAAGTAGTGACTTCAACTTTCTTACGAACTTTTCATAAACGACGTAATTTTCCCCCCCATTCAAATTCTGATTTCAGATAATTCCTTCATAAAATCTTTTTAATTTTTAAAATATATGTCACAAAATGTAGTTTTGTTGCTCTTTTTAATATTATTTCATGTTATGAAAGCTTTAATAACTGTTCATATTTTGTCATGACTGGGCATTTTTCTAAGCGTTAAAACGTTGTAAATATTTATAACAAAATAACTATAAAGTAAATGAAAAGGTTTTTATCGTCCTAGAAGAAAATAATTAAAATATATCAATAAGTGTATTTTAATTACCGTTATTCTTATTAAAATAAATTAAAAAGTATTTTATATGACATTATATGTGGTTTCCCGAGGTAGAGCACTATAAGTAGTGAAATTACTGTAGTCGTTAATTTTAATATAGTTTGTAGTATTGTGTGCTACTTTTTAAAAAGAAATAATGTAGTGAGTAGAGATTCCTGAAAACTACTTTTTATGTTAATTTAGTATAGGAACAGGGTTCTAACACAGCTAATTTGATGGGCATAAATTTTCATGGTCCCGTCAATGAATGCAATTTAAAATGACCATGTGACTGAGAGTTAACAAGAATTGTCTATTTAGAGAGTTGTATATTTAATATTTAAGCTAGAGATTACGAATAATAGATCACTTTGGTCACACATTCACAGGCGAATGCATACACGTGAAATGCATATGTTATTTTAAAGGAAGGGAACAAAGTGTCGATGTACTTAATTTCTTAGAGGAAGTAAAAGTGCATTAAACACTTAACAAAATTGATAATATTTGATAATTTCCTAACATTTCTCAAATTAAATATTTGCTGTAGAGGAATCATAAAATGTTGAAGTATACAAAATGTACAAATGTTGAAGTATAAAGTTGTACAAATTGAAAAAAAAAATATTTTGGAATACAAACTGGCTCGTGTGCACATGAATAAGTATTTTATCATAGTTCCTTATTTTTAATCCAAGACAATTTTTTATTCAAAAAAATTTTGAACATGGCAGTAAATTATGCTCTCCAGCAAACTTCACTTTCCAAATGTAGTGAAGTAGATGCAACTGTAAACTAGTTGTAGTTGTGCAGTAGTTGAAGCTGTAGTTAACTACATTTGTAATAAAATAGTTGTAGCTAACTGCAATAATTATGTAGTTTTTCCGAGCACTGGACATAATAATACTTACAGTGTATACGTTTCTTGTACAAGGTATGAGAAATTAGCAATACACTACACAATTATGCACCAAACTGACGACAGCATAAATCAAACCTTTGTCAAAAATTAAATAATTTTAAATTTTATTTATTTTTTAGAGCTATTTTCTTGCTTTATCCTGTAGAATTACATTTTAAGTTTAAGAAAAGAACACTAATTTATAAAAAAAAAAGGATTGACTGAACTCAGTTTTAAAAGTTTCTGTATTTAAATTTAACGAGACAAATTTTCAATGAATAAAATGCATCGAAATCTATTCACAAATCTTAATTAGTTGCTGAATACTGGACAGATAATTTAAATTTGTCACAAGGTAGCATGAAAACAATATCCTATTTCTCTCCAAAATGATTCTTTTTTGTTTTTTTATTTATTTAGTTCTATAATTCCAATTACTGCAATAGAGTCCATAGTTAAGAAACTCGAGAATTGGAAAAATTCTTGTTCGATACAGGTGATAGCGCAATCCTAGATAATGATTAGGATGATAAAATAAAATAAATGCATAATGCTTTCAGAATTTTTTCTCCATCTAAGAAGTAGAAATATAATGCTGATCTAACGTTGAACTTTAAAGAACTTTGCTTCTCTTCCTTTTGTTCTAATACAATGTTCCAAATGTTTCATCATATCTTCAGCTGCTCACGATTTAGTAATGATTTTACAGCATTAGAATTGTGCTGTATTTTAAGTTAAGTTTCTTAGGAGTCACAGCCCTCCTCTTCATTTCTTTGCTTTCAAAATTGTTTTCAGTATTTTTCATTCCGTTTTTATCGTTAAATCCCGATGGAAATGAAAAATTTGACTGAAAATTGCTATTATGAAAACATTTTAATCCGCCAAACCCACCAATCGTTCCGTTCAGTGTGGAAATAACAGGTTCAAATCGAGCCGTAATCCTTGATGTATTTTTCGTCCCTTAATCCATAATCCTTGATTATTTATCCTTGATGTACTTTCTCTAATTTGCTCTATCTGTTCTTCTATTTGACAAAGGGATATAAACCATAATTGAGCAAGCAAGCCTGCTAATGTATGTAACGCCAATTTAATTTTAATGTTTCATATAAAATTAACAAGATTTTTTATAAATGTGAAGTGATTGCTATAAATTAATCCTTTCTCTATATAAATACATTAAATCCCGCTAAAGTTCATCACTTGTAAGCAAAACTTTGATAGTCCTCTTAATATCTTTGACATTCAGAGTAAAATTGATAAAACTGATCAAACAACCAGTTTTACCGGTTTTTGTGGGTGGGGTAGTAATGGTTCAACTTATTTAATTCATCACTACTTAATTCAATACGAAAATTATATTGTTACGTAATTGTATAAATTGGATATGTTAAAAATGTTGGATATGTTAAAGAAAAATAAGTTTGTCAAACTGGCTATGTTCACATGTAAACTAATGCTTTTTATTTTTTTCCATCACATGTCTGCACGATTGCATATATGACTCGTCCGTTCCGAAGAGATTTATCCAGTGATCAGCTAATAAAAAGGGGATTTAATTTATTTTGCATGTCAGCCAAGAATGCCAATTGTTTCATTTTCTGCAAAAGAGATAGAGAAATGCAAACAAAACTCGCCGAATTATTGTGAATTTCGCCCTCTCTTTAAAAGACTCTTCACAAGATAATTGCAACAATTCTTATTTTATTAGATTTTATAGGCTCTGGTGGAAAAATGTTTAAATTTACTAAACCAAAATTTTTTATTCCCCTGAAGAGCAAGATTGCTTACAAAGCAAGACAAGTTGGCATCTCTGTCTTGTTATTTGACAGCTGTTGAATATACAGGGATGGTTTACTTAACATACCCTACGGAATTTCCGTAGTTTCAGAAATCTTCTTTTCAGACGGTAGCAAAATTAATGTCTTAATATTTAAAAAAAATTAATTTTAGCGTAACTTGTCCACTATTACTTATAAAAGTGCAGGCGATAAGGCTAGATTCTTAAGTTCTGATAAAAGTTTTATGAGAGATCCATTTGCTTTAAAAATTTCTACTTTGGTTCGCTACCACTAGAAAGAATTATTTTCAAAATCCTCATAAGTTGGAGGGTATGACTTAACAAATTTGCTTTTATCATAAATTTTCTATAATGCCATGGTGGATCCGTGGATAGAGCTCTCGCCTCCCAATGAGGCTCCCCTAGTGATGAGGTTTGAACCCTAGCGATGGCTGGTCGATAAGAATTCTGAATTTCGGTTTGCTCCGAGCACACTGCGAAAATAAAATATCCTCAGTGGTAGACGGATAATGAGTTTTAGAGGCCCCTTGCCGTCATGATAAACACGGGAGGTTTTCGTGGTTTACCTCTCTACGTAAAACAAATGCTGGTAAAATTCAATCAAAAAGTTCTCGACAATAGCAAATTTCTTCCCATATTTGATTCTGGAGTCCCTTTTGCCTTCTGAATTGGGTCAAATTCACAAGGCTTCGAAGTTGAAATATTGATAGTCGAAAGCTCAAAACTGGATCGGCTATTCAATGACAGTTATAAAAAAATGCTTATCATATAACTTTATTATTATTATTTTAGGCTTCAATATGAGGATTTCTCAACTTCTACGCACACTGGTACGCACATGGATGCTCCGGCACATTTTGTCAAAGGAGAAATTACTGTTGATGAGATACCAGCCCGTTCCTTCTTCGGGAAAGCAGCTGTTATCGACATAACTAGAAAAGCATCACTTAGTCCTGATGCTGTAGCTACCGTTGAGGATGTCATGAACTGGGAACGCACAACACAGAGGTGTTTGAATGGGACTATAGTTTTATTGAACTCTGGTTGGGGCCACAAATGGAACGACCGTGATGCTTTTCTCGGCTCCTCAAGTGATGACACCTCAACATTGCATTTTCCAGGATTCTCACCAGAAGCTTGTAAGTGGATGACCGAGTGTAGAAGTATCAAAGGAGTAGGCGTTGATACCGCTTCCATTGATCCAGGTACAACCAAAATTTCACCTTGCCACGGTTATGTACTAAGGCATAGATTGTTTGCTTTAGAAAATGTAGCCAATATTGATAAACTTCCTATTTCAGGTGCTACACTTTATGTATTTCCAATGAAAATTGGTAAAGGTAGTGGGGCACCAACTCGAATAGTAGCATCAGTGCGTATGAAAAATTGATGAACGCGAGCTGTTTCGATATGAATAACAAAAAAAGACGGTTCGAAAATTATGAAGCGAAATAAAGTTGCACAATAAAGAATTAAATATTTGTAGTCTAACTAAACTGGAACCAAAAGAAACTAAACAAAGGAATTGAAGAGATTTGTGAAAGACTTTTTGAAAACAGAATGGAGGATCTGGCCTAAACCGATCCTTCAACAGTATTCCCTGGATGCGCCGAAATGGGGGCGGGACAGGGTAAAGCCGAACTCTAGTCTATAGTCTAACTAATAATGGTGCGAAAAATTGGATATACGACGGAACCTCTCGGGAGCGACCACTCTCTGTTCCACAGTAAAATTCTCATTAATGGAGGTTGGTCGCTCTTAGGGGTTACCTCCATTGAGTTCAAAATATTATCGAATGTACTTGATTTTTGCAAGTGATTTTTATTCTACTCAGTGTCATTTCCTTGGCGCGGAAATGCCACAGGCGTAATAAAAGCCGGATCGATGTACAAAACTCTGCGTCAATAAAAATTATCTATACTGATATAAATATGTGTTAAAAAATTTATCAATTATGAATAAGAGAACTATTTTAAATCAATAAACAATTATGTTTGTTTGTCTTAGCTGTCATTTTAGTTTATATCATAAATATTATTTCACTTTAATAAAAAATGAGAAGGGGTTTGTTTGTTTGATATGTTAAGTTTTTTCTATGCTAATTTTTTTTCTAATTTAACTTTCACCTCTGAAAGTAAATCTTCGATAATATCGTCCCTAGTGCACTCTGACTGTAACATAAGGTTGTCAATCTCTTTCGTCAAAAAGAGCTCTCCAAATAAGAGTCACTCACAAATATTTACATTACATTTGAATCTATTTATTTATTTAGTTAAAAAAAATTTAACGATTTTTTTATTGCTTCCTTATTCGAATTTTGCTGATAGCTAGGAGAGATATGTTTTGATGGTCTATAGAAAAAATACCTAGTCTATGGAAAAAATTCCATACCTCCCAAATAGAGGAGGTCACTACGCTTGGACGTTTCACCGTGATTTTATAAATAATTTGAAAATTCAAACCAACTTTTCTATTTCTTTTAGTTGCGAGAATCAAAACAGTGTAAAAATCACAAATTGAAAAAAATATCCAAAATAATCTAATTAAAAATTAAAAGTTATTGTCTCAATTTGTTAAGAATCTAATATTAAGGAAGAATATTAAATACTTTTTTAACTTTCATTTTACAATGAAATTTGTCATTTATGCATTTGATTTTAACCATGTTTTTCCTGTTACTGACTAAAAATAATTCTCTACTGCAATTTTTTTATTTCCTAAATATAAATTTCCGATATTTTTGAGTAGAAATCTAAACAATTAAATTGAATATGGAAGGAAGAAAATGTACAAAACATCAGAAAGAACTCTATGACTAAAACAAAATCTTGTTCTTAGTTTCCATAAGAACAGAGAATCAACTGTGGAATGTGTTATTGATATGCAAATAGTTTTTATATTAATGCAAAGCAGTTAAGAAGAGTTTAAAAAAAAATTAAGAAAATCTACAAGCTTAAAAAAAGCTACAGTTGCCGTGTAAACTTTCAAAATAAAGAGACCAGCTTTATCATTAGGATTTTAAAACTTTAAAGAGGTTGATTGAAAAAGAAATCACGTATTTTAAGGGATTGAAACTATCACAATCCTAGTGGTTTATAATAGTACCAAAAGTAGGCAATGCAGTTTAAATCATATCCCCTATTAAAGTGTTAAATAAATTGCAGGGTTTTCCCAGAAAACAGAAGTAATCATTTTAAATCAAATAAGCCTTTGTAGTATGTCAAAGCCTCTCACACAAAACTCCTTTTTTCAAAGGTTTTGTATGACTTCATTAAAGAAATCTACAATGAAAAATGTAACTTGTCTTAACAAACCTAAAAATATTTTTAAAATATAATTAACTTCAAGTAATTAAAAAATATGCTTATAAAATAGCAGTGACTTAAACCATAGCTAATTTGTCAAAATGCAAGGGGTTTAAACCTACACTGTAAAGGATTTATTTAATCTCCATCATGCTATACTTTTATTATTACTATAATTTTCTGACGTACTATAGTTTTCAAATTTCAAATGGAGTTTTGTCTCTGATAATTAGACATGTTTATATCACGTTCAGACTTAATAAGTTTGCAACTTATAAGTATTGATTTAAAATTTACTTTTCGACAATTATTTGACATTAAAGTTAAATGGGAAAAAATAATTAAAAAAACACAAGCCTAAAATTGTAAATTTTGGAGTGTATCACCTTTTCAGAACAATTCTATCACTAACCGAAGTCAATTGAACATTTTTTGTTGTACTTGATCTTACCTAATTTGGTAATCTGAAATTGTTTTTTTCCAAAGGCTGTGTATAGACATGTATACAGCATATATATATATAAATATATATATATATATATATATTAAAAAGT